GATGGTGGAGAAGAATCACCAAACAGCCCAGAGAAGCTGAAGTAGATTCCATAGACATATAGCAGGATGAGATTAAGGCACACTCACAAGTCCCAAATTCCACCCTTCTTTGGAGCAGACGACTGCGCTTGCAGTTTCCGTGCTCGTTGCATCTCGGTCCATTTTAAAGATTCTTCGAGTTCCATGAGCTTTTCCTACAACATACAATATTAAGCAGTACTACAGTATTTTCTGAAAATGCACTGTTTATCAAATCACGTCAGAGTAAGGGACAATAGCTGAAAGTTCCATTGGAAGGGTAGGAGAAAAAAATCATAGAAATTTTTTTTTTTAAATGGCTGTGCTTCGGTGAGATCAAAGTGCGGCACAAAATTGAACGAATTTGAGAGCTTTTAAGAGCAATTCTAAGCTTGATAAAAAAAAGCAATCTTTTATAGACTATGCTGCAAGTTATTCTTCAATTTTATGATTTAATTTTGAAAGGTTAATTAAAAAGAGATTTGAACTTCAGCCACAAGAAACCAAGCGGTAACTGCACTTGAGCTAGGTTAACCAACCTTATACATATTCCTATCAATGAGTACCCTCTGCATCTCCATTCGAGTGAACCTCTTTCTCTGAGCCAGCGGAACCTCTTCCTAAAAGAAATATAAAACTTTCGACTAACAAATTATCGAATGAAACTTTACTTCTTCCTCAGCCTCCTTTTCGGCCAACTTTTGCTTGACTGTTTTCAATTCTTCCTCGAGTTTTGCTATGTTATCACCCATTTTTACCCGTACCATTTCGAAACTATGCACCTCATCACGAAGGATAGCATTTTCACTGAGTAAGAGTGAATACCAAACTGTTAAGTTTACCAAACAAACAAAAATTCAGTACCTGCTCAATTCGTCAACTCGAGCAATGAGATCATTCTTGACAATATTCAAAGCATTTTTCATATCAAGCAATTCCATGTTTTCCTTGATGAGGTTTTCCACTTCTCGACCCATTCCTGATAGATATGATTAAATACAAAGGAAAACGCATCCAATCGCATGCAAGTTTCTTGACAATAGAAGCTTTCTCAAATCTATAAAAACCAATTTGTTTTTCTCATGCAAGAGCGTCTCAAACATTGTTTCTCGAGATTCGTAATCAAGTAAAAGCTGATCATCACAATTTTTCTTTCTCCAATTATATTTTAAGTAAGACCGTACAATTCACACTACTACACCATAAACATACCGATGAAGGTGTCGTTCACTGAAATGTTGGATGATTAGTAGCTGATGGTGGTTAAAAACACAACAAGCTGTCATGCAAAACTTTTTAGTCAGAGAAACAGATACTGGCAAAAATTACTGACAAGGGCACCGAGTGGATGAAAATTTCGAATAGCGGACATGACTTGATTCGGAAAATGTTCAAATTAGCATAGAGTTGTGCTATAAGTGCCTCTATCAGTAACGCAAAACATGCATATGGATGCAAAAAAATCTCCAAAGCCAGACAAAAACCCATTCCACAATTAGGCACTTTGTTGTTCAAAGCAAACATCGAGTTATTTGTCTCACCACTTTCCGAGTCCGATGAAGAGGTTCGTCTCCGTCGTTTTCTTCTACTTGTTTTGTTCTC